TTAATCGTGTGAAATTAGCTTTAAACTTAAAAATCTTTTGTGAGAATAATGTTTTCACAAGGATGTTAATACATGGATATTGCAAAAACTTAGCAGGATAGAAAAAATTGATTTATTTCTAAAGGACTCCACAGAAGCCGCTGCTCCAGACCCCCAAAATGAATCTGCATTTTGTGTTGAAGGTATATAGCGGATAGTTTGTTTGTTTCAAGGATTTAAATTAACATCAGCTTGCAACAGACTTGTCTATAGTTCTGTTATCTGTAAAATTGTAGTTACAATTAATGTTGACATTGTTCTTGAAGTATTTACCATTGCTTTAAAGTCTTTTTCTGCAAGTCTTTTGCAGGAATTAAAACGCTGAATAAATATTTGTTGAGGGAAACTAATTTTGTTCAATTGTTGCTTCTAAAGAATCTTGAGACTCTGTTAAGATTACTTTATAAAGGTATATGTGACTGAAATGTTTGTAAAACCAGACTGAGCCCAATCTTACAATGAAACATTTATTTCACATGAGGTTAACCTGAGTATGCAGCGCAAGACCTTTTTGGTAATGCTGCCATATGACATAGTATAAGCAGGCATTGAAAAACATTTTCAGAGTCACTCGTCCTGCAGGATGAGTACCTTGTAAATCTGATATGCAAGCAACATTTTTCTACTTGTCCTACATTGAGTTCTCTTAAATTCTACTTGTAATTACGAGCGGACGAGTGGAATTTTTGATCTCTTTAAAATAACATATAGGTTTGTAGGTAACAGCAAAATTATCATCTTGTTGAAAAAACTGTAAACCAAGGTGTTAGCTGAGCATTATAATAGTAAGAATAGCTCCCATTGGCTCATGAGAAATTAACATTGCAAAAAAGTGAGGTATCAATAATAATATTAGCAAGTTTATATTTGCCTCATTAGGTGTGTCTTTATTAGGCTCAAAAGGTCTGTCTTTATTGGCTCAAAAGGTCTGTCCTTATTTGGCTCTTAAGGTCTGTTCTTATTTGGCTCTAAAGGTCTGTCATGTGACTCATAAACCTGTCTTTTTTTTGGCTCATAAGACCTGTCCTTATTTGGCTTATAAGACCTGTCCGCCTGTTCTATTCATATTGCAAACTGCATTTGTAACAGCCAAACCTTATTACTTACTTATATATCTTAAATAAATTTATTATTACAGAGTATGAAAAAAGAAACATTAGCATTTTATGAAAATTGATTGAACAGTTATCTGCTAGACATATTTGCTATGTTGAAGGCTTAATTGTATAATTGCAACATACAGTTGTGAGGATAATATGAGAAAATGATAGTAATTGTCATGTTTGAGATATATTTATGTGATTTAAAGTAGTATCACCATGGTGACAAATTGAATAAATCATTGAATATAATTATATATATATTCATGTCTCATAACGTTTTATTGAAATATAGCTTGAAGGGAAAATTAATGAATAGCTGATTGCTTAATGAATTGAAACTGACTGAAATTTGCTTCATCATGAAGAAAATGAGATAAGCCCCTGCTGACCTTTGCCATATAGAGCCAGGCCAGCCTGCACATCCCTGCAGTCTTTTTTACCAGGCTATATACAGGGATTTTTTCCAGGATTTTGGGAACATGAACCATACCCATGGAATTGGGTATTTCAGCAGTGTTTTGTTAAAAATTGGGGAAAAATACATGACTGAAATTTTGCAATGTTTAAATGAATGCAAACAATCACTGTGTAGGATGGCATCTTCAAACATTTAAGCACTATTACAGTGAAGAAGCCCTTATTTTCAAAGATTTTAAAATTTTTATTCAATATTTTTATTTTGTAATTTTCAATTTTCAATTGGGATTTTTTTTTTGTGGATTGGGAAAATAATATACTATTTTCAATTGGGAATATGACCCAATAACGGCTATAAAATAAGCCAAAAACAATCCCTGGGCTATAATAATATTTGTTTAAACTCAAATTTTGTATTTTGATATTAAAATCCATTAAATTTAAAATGGACTGTTCTCTGTTCAACACAAGGCATACCCAAGTTAAAAGCAAGGCATACCGCCTCCGTGGTCGAGTGGTTAGAGTCGATGACTTCTAATCCAGTTACCTCTCTGGCGTGGGTTCGATCCCCGGGAGATGCTTTGGTAGTTTAGCGCGGAGGAAGGTAGTCAAGTACTGGTGTAACTCTCCAGGAACGATGGTTAGGAAACTACCCGCCTATATGACTGAAATACTGTTGGAAAAAGGCGTAAAATGACACAAACAAACAAACAAACAAAAGCAAGGCATACCCATGACAAATATTCAGCATGTTAATTAAAGTGTCAACTGCAAATTTGCTGAAATGACTAAAACAGTATATATTTATTTAATAAGAGGAACTAAAACAGTAGATATTTATTTTATAAGAGGAACTCAAAACAGTAGATGTTTATTTAATAAGAGGAACTAAAACAGTAGATATTTATTTAATAAGAGGAACTTAAACAGTAGATATTTATTTAATAAGAGGAACTTAAACAGTAGATATTTATTTAATAAGAGGAACTAAAATAGTAGATATTTATTTAATAAGAGGAACTAAAACAGTAGATATTTATTTAATAAGAGGAACTAAAACAGAAGATATTTATTTAATAAGAGGCATCTGTGGTTAAATGTAGCTGAATTCAGATTACAATAATTGCATTGGTTAATGTTTTTAAAGGGTTGGTAAAAATAAAGGAGCAATATAAAATAAAAAAAAATTGAGATAAATCTGACCGAGGCATGCATGAACCGCTGTTTGCTCATATTTATAATCTCTTTTTGAATCAAGAGAAAAATGTTGCGTAAATGCGTAAAACATGATTTTTATCAAAGCTCAATGACTTTTAAACAAAAAAATGGAGTTTGTACAGTGTACTATTTGAGTTAAAAAGATAACCCTTTGAGTCATGATTGACTCGGCTTGTATGGAATAAAGATCTGAGGAAATACTGCACATAAATAATTGTTTTATAAACATTTGAATGATTGAATATCTTTGAGAACATCTTGTGTCTTATAATGGATGATTGTGAAACAATTTTGTACTGGAATAAATTTGTTAAGGTAACTGAGGTTTTTGTTAAAATTTAGTGTAAATTTCACAATACATTTAGATTAAGAAAGGGATATGTAAGAATCAAGAGTGCAGGAGGGTCTTTGGTCATTTATTAGCTGAAAAATACTTAATATACATAGTTCAAACATTTTTCTAACATAACAAAAGGCATCAACATGAAACTTGGAATACTTGCTTATCATGATATGGTGCAGTTGTTAGACAAGGGGCATAATTCTGAAAGTAACCTTTTTGGAGTTATGCTCCTTTTAACAGACTTTTGACATGACATGTGGTGCTCATGTTTATGTATAGACTGACTTTGTCTTTTGCTGAATATTAATTCTTAGGATACAGTTTTATAGAATGAAAACCTTTTAAAGTGGTCAAACTTAATGCAAAAATAGTGCCTCTTTGAAATAATAGAACATTTCCATTAAAAATTATAGGGATTTCAATGGCAAATTTTAAAAATGTGGGTACCAACAGCTTTATACCTGGAAAGCCTGTGTGACATCACAGTCCCTCGATAATTAATCTAATGCATTTTTATGATTGAGATATACACAACAAACTACTTTTTTATTTTAGATATTTTTAAGAAATTATATGATAAAGTTTTTTTTTCACTGATGGTTATATTGAAATAAAATACAAAACTGATAGATGAAAGGCCTTATAAAAGTTATAAAAGAAGAATGTTACTTATAGTGCTGATAATTTGTAACGTCCCTTCCATTGAACAATTCTGACATTTAAGAAATAGTTTTACATGTACACAGCTCCTGTGTTATTAATTATGAATTAATTTCCTTTTTTGTCAAAGAAAGCTGCTGTGCATTATCATGAATTTGTTTTAAAGATTTGTGCCAGGTTATATGGCTGATGTGCATAAACTGTTGTTTGCTGTATAACTTTAGTTTGGTTAATGAAAGTTGGCAATCTAACCAATGACCAATGATTAACATGTATCGTACGGGATTACATTTATGAAATTAAACATTGATTTAATAGCAGAATAGTAACTGTTTTTTTTAAAAGAGAAAAACTCCATAACATTATACTATGATACACATAGTATTTAGAATACACTATGTATGTATATAAATAATATAAAGCAATTTATAAATACCAATTTGTTACACTATTTGAGGATATACTTATGTTTATATTACGATAAAGCAACTTATAAATACTTGTTTTGTGTAAAGCTATAATATTATTGTTAACAGTTTCAGTGATACATTAAGTTAAAATGTCATTAAATTTTATAATTGAATAAGTAAAAATGAGATTCAATTAAAGTGTGTAAGTAATCATGAGCTTCACAGAATAACAATCAATTTGCTGGCATTTATGTTTGAAGACATATTATTTAAATTTGAAACCAAAATGACATAGACTAAGCAATTTCATGTTTTAAAAGCATTTATGTTTAAAGATAAATAATATAAAATTGAAACCAAAATGACATTAAATTATCAATTACATGTTTAAAAACATATTTAGAATTGAAACAAGAATGACATAAAATTTCCTGTCACATACTTTTGAGCGTTTCTATACATCCGGTCGCATAGAGTAAAAGTCGCTTAATATATAAAGATATAAACTGAAAATGATCGGGGGGAATTTAACATGGCTGCATAAGACAAAAGTCACTTAATACACATGGTCGCATGGGCAAGTTAGACTGTATATGCTTAACGATAAATTGTATTAAGATTGAAGCCAAAATGGCAAATTAATTTGCAGTCACATTCTGCAAGGATTTGTAAACAGTAAAAGACAATATCAATATTGGAGTGACAGATATATTGAGACCATATGAATGATTAAATAGATGTTATTCATTTAAAGGACACATATTTTGTGTGCTTCAAGAAATTATAAACCAATGTTTTTGTACATTACAGGGGCACCTAAAAAATGGAAAATGTCATCGACCCTCCCTATTGATGAAGATTCAATAAAGAGTAAGAAAGGGGGAACTTCAAAAAGTTCTTTGGCAGGCTCCAATAAAGGGACACCATCAAGCTCAAGAGAAAATTCAAATGAAAGAAAAAGTAGAATAAATCTATCTCTGCAAAAGGCTGGAAGGAAAAACAGTCTAACTAGGGATGGTAGTTCTTCTGAGCAGAGCAGCTCACGGGAATCTTCCTTAGAAAACAAAGTGAAAGGTGATGAAAAGAAACTCAAGAAAACTGACTTAGACAAGAAAAACAGGAGTTTTTCAAGTGATTCTAGTAAAGTGAGGAAAAGTTTAGGAAGTGACAGTACTTTAAACAGTGATAAGATTAAAAAGAAGAGAGGTCGACCAAAGTCTTTAGATTTATCATCAAAAGAAATGGCAAATGGTGATGATGATCATTTTAAAAGTCCAGATCCACTTACACCATGTAATATTGGTTTTAAAAGGAAAAAAGGAAGACCAAAGGAAACGCCGCCTGTTCTTTATGCTGAACCACCTGTAGAAACATCACCCTTGGAGAACATGACTGATTATGAAACAGAAGATAGCAGTCCTCCAATTAAGCGAAAACCGGGTCGTCCGAAAAAAGTAAAAATGTTCAATAGGGATCAGTTAAAATCAATAGGTAAATCAGATAATTTGAAAGCATTTAATATAAAAAGACAGTATGGCTCAAAAATTGGAAAAAGCAGCTTGCAGCAAGGTTTCAGAAGGGCTAAAAAACTTCCTAAACTAAAACCAGTTATGACTCCCATTCAGATTAATAAGACTGATGGAAGTAGTATGTCTGCAGTTGAAACTGAAGGTTCTGAATTTGAAACTAATGACAAAAGTAAAGTTAATGAAAATGGAATATCTCCCAATGAAAAGAGAAAGCCTGGTAGACCCCTTGGTGCTAAAAATAAACAAATCTATGGCGCTTTAACAGCTCTAAAAAATAAAAGAAAAGCTGCTAAGGCTATTGTTTCAAGAAAAATAACTCAGTTTGGATCTCAAAGTTTGAAAAAAGCAATAAGTAGAGGTCCTGGGCGACCTCCTGGTACTAAAAATAAAAGTACTCCTGGTAAATTGTCAGGAAAAGTGAATACAGATAAGGTTGAAACAATTTCAAATAGTTCAAAAGAAAACAGTGTTGTCACAGAAAAAGATGAAGTACCTGATTCTTTCTTCGAAAATGAAACAGAGGGAGATATGGATGTCAGTACAGTTGATGAAGCAATTGAAACAGTTCTCTTTAAAGCTAGACATGATATATCTATTGAATTAAAGAATAGGCCAAAATTATCATTTAGACCACAAGGGTTTTTTAAGAAACTTACTTCTGTGAAATCAGTTGCCAAATTTAAAAAAGAAAAAGACATTATTCGTAAGATAAGAAAAAAGAGAATTTTAGAGACGCATGCCACTGGTGAAGATTTTGATCAAAATGTAAAACCTCTAGCTTCAAATGATCTCAGGAGGAAGTTGCAGAGTAGGCTTATAGAGAAAATGAAATTTGAACACAACATAAAACCTACAGAAGGAAAAGGTGCCATGCAAGCAGAGGATAATGTGCAGAAGTCTGAAAATTCTTTGAATGAAACTAATCTAAAACCATCAGAGGATTCAAAGACAGATCTCCTTTCTGAAGATTCCGCTAAAAGTGTTGAAGTGAATGGAGCCTTGCAAACAGCTACTCTTGAAGAAAGGACAATTATAAAGCCTGATTCTGAAAATATTGCTGACACTAAAAATGTGCGGAAACAAAACTTTGATTTTTCCAAATTTAGTGACACAGAATCTGTGTGCTCTGAATTAAGTACAAACTCAATTGGGTCTTTGAAACGTAATATTGAGAAGCAGGTATTAATTTTAGGTGAGGAGAACACTGAAAGTGATGATCAGACTGTAAGAACCAGGCAAAGGTTTGAAATCATTCCAGGAAAGAAAAGAAAACGTACTCTTAGTGGTGAATTTGATTTGCTGGATGAAAAACAGTTAAGAAAAGAAAGGAAAAAAGCAGAAAGGATACAAACTGATGATGAATGTGACCTTAATCAGTTGCAGAGAGAAACCATTATTCCTAAAAAGAAACCTTTATTTAAGAGAAAGAAAAGTCCAATCAAGAAATCACCGACACTTAAAGTTAAGGATGGAAAGATTGTTAAAAAGTATGTGTCACAACTCACAGCTTATCGCAATAGAATGCTTAAGCAGTCCCCATTTTTAAGTCGTGTAAGGAAGAAACGTAGGAAACCTTACATTAAGAGAAACCAAGAAAACTCTGAAAAGACTTTAGCAGCACAGGCCAGTGTTGATAGCACAAATCAAAGTGGCAAATTCAATTCTGAGTCTATGGAAAATGCTTCTTTTGTGGCAGATTCCCCCACAGTAAAATCAGATTATTATCGTCAAGGGTTGTTTGAAAAATTTACTGATGTTACATTAGAAAATAAGGGTGAATCTGTTGAAGATATTCAAGTTAAAGATAGTAAAAATAGTAATAATGTAAACAATGGTGAAGATGGAGATAGTGATGATACAGAATGTACAATTGAGCTCAAAGATGATATTCTCCCTGAAGAACCACCAGTAGAGGAGAGTGTGGATGATTCAGATGTGATAGACTTTCATGCAGAGATGAAACTAGAGTCAACTGGAAGAGAACTTTATACGGAATCAGAAATTGAAATCAGAGAAATGCTTTTTGAGTTAATTGATGACATTGTAGAAGATCTTGAAAAGAAAAGAGGTTCTTTTAATCCAAGTGCAGATGAAAAGTGTATAAATGAAAAAGTTGAAACAAGTAAGATTAAGGAAAATGTAGGAGAACATGTAGGTAGTGAAATAAATGAGAAAAATTGTGTTAAAGAAGACATAAAGGACTGTCAGAATGAAGGGGGAGATATGAAAGAAAAATCTCAAATTGTGAATTTAAGTAATTGTGAAGAGCCAAATAAAATGATTGTTTCAGAAAGAATTCTTGGCACAAAGGATGAAAAAGAAAGTTCAGAAGTAAAACAAACTATAACTCTAAAAAATGAAGACAATCTGAAATTAGTTTCAGAAGAAAACAATGTAGTTGATAAAGAAATAAATGAAGATATCAATTCAAGCAATGTTGACACAGCTATAGAAGGAGAGGCCAAGCAAATTAAGAAAGTCAGAATTAAGCATAAAATGAAAAGAAAACGGTATATACCTCTGTCAAAAAGAAAGCAAGTTGATAATGTTACAGATAATAAGATAAGAAAGAAACCCGGAAGGAAACCAAAACCAAAGCCAGATAGTAACATAACTAGTAATAATGAAACTATTTCAGAAACTGTCATTGAGAAAAAATCAAATCCTGTTGAAAGTAAATCTCCTGAAACAAGTGTAATTAGAAAGTTTGAATTAAGGCAAAAAATTTCTAGGTCACCACTAGATAATATTGCGCTTAAGCAAAGTTTGGAAGAAAATGAATATTTGAGAAATGAGGCACAGAAATTGTCACGTAAAGAAGCGAAGTTTAAGTTGAAAGCAAAGATTCCAGGACAAGACTCCTTAGAATCATCACCTGTTCAAAACAAGGACCAAGAATCGACTGAAAATACTGTTCCTGAAATACCAGAATTAACAGAGGAAAGTGATACAGAAATAGAAGAAAGAGCTGAAAGTGTTGAGGACTTGTTGAAGCGTTGCAGACCTTGTAAGATAGTTCTTAAGGATTTTATTAAAGAACTTGAACGTGCACAAGTTCAAGCAGAAAGCTCATGTGAATCAGAGACTGAATTGCAAGATATTCCAAATATCTCAGATGAGGAAAAGAGTAATTCTTCTATAATGCAAAATGACACTGAAAATAAAATTGAAGATGCTTCACAAGGTGAAACTCAGTTAACTAATGCGATAGAAAGTGGTTTGGAAGACACAGATAAAATTGACAAGATTGGTACCGAAGCTGGACATACTGAAAATGTTAATTTGTCAATAAGTACTAGTAATGAAAATGTTAACGAAGCTTGTGCATCGCAAGAAAGTGCTGTAAATGATGATACAAACAATGTTAAATTAGATACCCCTTGTGAGCAAGAGAAAATTGAAAATCAGAGTAATATGCATGATGTGAAGAAAAACGAAATTGAAAATTCAAGCCCAAACACAAAACAAAGAGCATTAAGACCAAAACGTAGTACCCCTGTCAAAAACCAAGAACTTTCTAGTATACAAGTGGCTATAACACCACCTAAAAAGGTTAGAAAAATTAAAAGTATTAATGAGCAGCAAACAGCTAGGAAAACCGTTCCTCCACTTAAGATTAAAGTTAAAGGTGGATTTTCATCAAGACGTAAAACATATATTGTTGAACCCTCTCCAGATTCTCCTGTTGAATTGTCAAGCAAAGAGGAACAAAAGGCCGAGAAAAAGAAAGAGAAGAGCAAAACAAAATCTGGAAATAAATCAGAATCTTCTGACTCGGAAAAACACAACAAAAACCACCATCATCATCATAGGAAGAAAACTAAAACCCCCACTGATGATATCAATATTGAACAAAGTAAATCAATGACATCTCAAAACAAAGACATTCCTGTTGGCCAAAGTGCTGTTTATATTGAAAAACCACCTTTAAAAGCAACTGATGCATATGAAGCAAATTTTCTACAGTTTATTCAAGACAAAGACAAAGTTGAACAAAATATGGCTGCATTCAGTAACTCACTTGGATCTAAAAGTAAACCAAGTAATCAGAGTCTTCTAAAAACACTCCAAAAAGACAATACATATCTTAACTTAGCAATGGCAAAAACTTCTCCTACTTCATCAAAAATTGAGCCAAGCAATGCTCAAATTCAAAGTGACACTCAAAACAATATTGAAAATACCGAAGTTCAGTATGTCTGTTCCCAGTGTGAAAATGTTGTTTATAAAACCAAAGAGCAGATTGCTCAGCACTACAGAGAGGTTCATCCAGGGTCCCAGTTCATCTATAAACCATTGCCAGAAGCCACAGAAAACATGGCAACGATTGAAAATCCAGGAAACATGGAAAATAACTCTTTACACAGCAGGTTTGTTATGTCATTTTTTTTTTCAGAATTATATCTTAGTCATTAGTTTATGCTCACTTATTTTACATGATGATATACCATGTAAGCATATGTATAACAAGCCGCCTCCGTGGTCGAGGGGTTAGAGTCGATGACTTCTAATCCAGTTACCTCTCTGGCGTGGGTTCGATCCCCGGGAGATGCTTTGGTAGTTTAGCGCGGAGGAAGGTAGTCTAGTACTGGTGTAACTCTCCAGGAACGATGGTTAGGAAATTACCCGCCTATATGACTGAAATACTGTTGGAAAAGGCGTAAAATGAAACAAACAAACAAACAAACAAAATATGTATAACAATGAATTGAGAGTTCATTAAGAGTTCATAATATTATGTACATGTACCATGATTAATTGGTTGCATGCATGTTTCACAGACATTTTGTACTATAAATTGCTTTTTGACTTTTTCAATTATTCAACTTGATAGTAATGTTGGGAATTAATATGCCCTAAAAGGGTCAAATAATTGGACCTTAACATAATTTTTCAATATCAATTTCAGTGCTGGTGATAATGAGCAGCCAAATGACGATGATGACAGTGGAAGCCTCAACCTAAAAATTGTTGATGTTGTTAGTTTGAAGGACCAAGAAAATCTAATAGACCATAATACAGTTATATCAAAGGAAGAACAAGTAGCACCTGTTCATTCGGTTCCAACCAGCCAGATACAAACCCAACTGAGAATACCAAGTTATCCTCTCATAGTGAGTGCTCCACCACCATATCCCGTACATTCTAACGTTCTTCCACCGCCATATTCAGTAGCAACTGCAGGAAGTGCCGCTCAAGGGCATGTTATATCTGCACTCCAAGAACAGTTGCAATTAAAATCGAAATTAGCTGCTCCGAAGCAGAAAAGTCAGGTGGCGGGAAAAATAGGTAACTCTTTTAAATGTGAAAAGTGCAATGTACATGCTCCAATGCTAGCGGCCATGGTTGCACATTTAAGAAATTCTCATAAAGAAATACCAAGACTCTTTCAGTGCCCATATTGCAAGGATATGGAAGCTGAAACAGAAGCTTTGATTCATCAGCATATTAAAAAACTCCACCCTACAAACAATCCAAATCCTCCAGTTGCTTTATCAGAGCCAGCCAAGCGTAATTTAAAAACATTATCAGTTCGGTTGCCTGAAGGAATTAAACTTGGGGAAGGGAATAGCATTGAAAAGGACATTTACATGTGCCTAAAGTGTAAGGAACATATGCCATCTTTAGAAACAATATATGAACATCTTGAACATGAACATTCTGAAATCTTTGCTTATGTTTGTCCTGTTTGTAAAGTGTTTAAGTCCAAGACAGAGCACTTGGTAAACAATCATATCAAGGTGGTGCATAATAGAAAATCATCGGAGGTTAATGTTTCATTGGCGATTGATGGTAATCATTTTGTAAGAATTCAATGTCTCGTAAAAGATAAAACCAAATCTGGCCAAAGGTCGTCACATTCAGCACAACAGAAACAGCAGCCAAGTCCAGTCCCAACGACAGTACAGCAAAGTAAACCAACATTACATGTACCAGGACTGACTACAGCACATCTTCAGTTACAACCTATACCACAAGTATCTATTCCTCAAGAAAATTCAACCCATGTCAGTAGTATGCCATTAAACCCATTGCAACAGCCGAATTTAAATTTCTCAGCACCACCAGCTGGGACTAAACCTGTTCAAGCACCATTAGTTCCGAAGAAAAAGAAAAGTTTACTTGAATCGATTCAGAAAATTAAAGTTCAGAAAATGGAACAACAGGGACTGCTATCACAAAAAGGTCAATCCACATCAATATCTTCAACGATTCCTTCTCATCCATCACAGTTGATTACTAGTAAGCCTAATGTGTCTTCTGCAGCGGTCCCGCCCCCATTAATGAGAGCACCACCGCCATTGATAAGATATGACCAACTGAACAAAGTATCATCGCCACAGTCTATAATGTTCGGGTCAGCGCTACAGAATCAAGCCACTCTGACAAATTTACAACGGTTGCAGAATATTACCAGTAGTCAGACTGTTCTGTCTTCTTCGGGGACTCCAAGATCAATACAGTCGTCCTTATTTGATACTTCTGACCTTGATACATTGAAAACACCACAAAGTCAAAGGCCTGTGCTAAATGTACCTGTTGTTTCAAGACCTTCCAGCAAAGGTCCATTTCAGAAGGTACCATCAGCAAGTTCTACCCCTGATAACACAGAAACAACCGTGACAGGGTCTCCTCTTGATTTGTCGAAAACCACTCCATCTGCATCACCAGTACCGCAAGGTTTGCAGATTCCTAATATGGGACCAGTGCAAGTTTCTGGAGCAAGTGTTAACCCAGACTTATTTCAGGTATTTAACTTGAGACCAAGCACTCAGATGCAACTTCCACGACCACAGATTCCTGTGCCACAAATGCTTACTCAACCAATTATGATACCGCAGCAAGTTCGGCAAAATACCCCTAGCACTTTAGCATATAGACCAGCAGGTTCACAAATGATTGCTACGTCACAAGTACAGCAACTTATTGGAATGCCTATCGGGACAGCAGCTGTCATCGGAAATATGGTGGTTAGTTTAGGGAACATGACTCAAGGCATACCTGCAATGCCAGTAGGTAATCAAGCCCTTCAGAATGCTCAGTTTGTCCGAATGTCGGCTCCTCCGATTCAAATTCCTCAAGTGAGTGTGCTTAATTCAACAGGAAATGCACCTATGGCAATTCCAGCGCAATCTAAAAATTCTGCAGCCACACCGCCCATGTTAAACAAAGCTACTTTATTTAGATGCCCATATTGTCCGAGTATTACTCCACTTCGGTTTGATCAGGTACAGAGCCATATTGAAAACAAGCATCCAGGATCCTCGATTCTTTTTAAACCATATGAATCCTCAAGATGAAGTAACTTGTGTCCTTGGAACTGTTTCTAAATTAAAATATAGATTTCAGTTGATCTAATCATGTTTATATATAGCATTCCTACTTAGAATACTTAAAGAACATCACAGATTTCATCATGTACAAATACCATTGAATTTCATTTTGTAACATTGTCATGTGGGATATAATCTTCAGATAATCCCCATCAAACATTCTGAATCTATTGTTTGTATGTGCATAAGCCATAAACCTGTGTTATTTAAACAAACCCAATCATTTTGTATATAATTAATGTATTATCTTGATTAACTCATTCACATGTGCCTGTCATTTTGTAATTAGCATCATGTATACATACACAATTGGTTGTATTGTACATTATATAATATATTTTTGAACATTTAATTGTGACCTTTATAATTATGTATTAACAGAATCAATGTTCCTAATTTTTATTATGAAGATTTTGTATTTCTAACATAAGTTTTATTACTTTTTTTCTCTGCTTTTTATAACAATATTTCATTGATTGAAATTTTTATTGCTAGACATTATTATTTTTGTAAGTTGAATTCATGAAAGCACAAGTTGAACTGTTCATATTTTTGCTTAATAGTGACTATGAAAAGATCATGATTCATATTTTGGTTGAAAATTAAACATAAATTGTTCATGTTTTGGCTTAACTGTGAACATGAAATATTCCTTTTTTGGCTTAACTTTCAATATAAGATGCTCATATTTTGATTAAAGTGAGAACATGAAAATGTTTGTTTGTTTTAACTATATACTTTTTTGATTATTTAAGTTGAATTTATGAAAGGATAAGATGATATTTTGGCTAAAACATGGCTGAGAAGTTCTCTTTTTTTGGCTGAACTGTGAACATTAGATTTTCATATTTTGACTGAACTGGGAACATAAAATGTTCATATTTTGACTGAATATGTGATCATAAAATGTTCATGTTATTGCTGAATTGTGAACATAACTTTGGCTTAAGTGGGAGTATAAAGTGTTAATATTTTGGATGAAATTAGAACATTGAATGTTTTAATCTTTGCTAACTATAATATGTTTGTTATGGCTGAACCGTGAATTTGAAATGCTCATATTCTGGCTTAACTGTTAATATACTAGGTAGAACCACCTGCCTATTTCAAATGTTAGAAATGTGTCTTTATGCACAAATTGTGCTAAATATGTGTATGTTTTCTTTTTTGTGTAAATTTATTGTTTAATTTCGGTTAATTTTAGATGTTTTATGTAAAGGAAATGTATATACATTTTTTGTGTAAATACTATTACACCATTCATTCTAACAGGGAACTTGGTGAAGTTTCTCTACACACTCTTTGTGCTAAAAAACATGAATGTTTTCCTGCCATTTTGCATTGTTCTAGTTGTAGGCATGGAGCAAAGGTAAAAACAACAACCTAGTCTTAATCATTATTACGCAATAGACCTTAACACTTCAGAAATTTCACCATTTGCTTGTTAAATGGTATGGCATCACCAGCTTGCTATAAGTAAATACATTATCACAGTATTCTAATGACAATTGGAAAGGTTAGTTTTTGGTACATTTATACTGTTATAATAGTTACGTATTGTTATGTAAGTGCCATATTGGCAGATGAGTGATATATGATATATGACTTGAAAATATGAATGATGTACAGTTCATCCTCTTCAAAGCAATTCTCTTTTAAAGATAAAAAAGTTTGTTGGTCTTTGTGTAGAGGTATTGTTTTGTAGAGGTTAAATTTTAAAGTGAAGTCTTAGTTTTTGGAAAAAAATTGAAACTTGTTGTGAAGAGGTGATTGCTTAACAGAGGGTCATTCTACAGAGGTTGCATTGTAATGTACTGACAATAGAGTGAAGACATTGTATTGCTTGTCATTTGAAATTCCTTATCTTGAATAATTATATTATTGGTAAAATATTTTTATTCATTGCATATTAGTCTTTTGTGATCATCTTTTACCATTAACGAATTAATTCACTTATTTATTGCATAGCATTGAACATTAGGTACTAGTGAATAGTCTTTTTGTTGCTTATCATTATAAATCAATTGAACTATTTATGTACCATTTGCATTAATCATGTATTTATTACACAGGATTGAATTGTTTTGCTTATCATTATCATTCCATTAGGATTCCATTATCGAATAGGAAATATTTCTTTCCCTATATATATAAACACTGATATAATTATCTTTGTTCAGCAACAGTAGCCTTGGGTTATGTTGCATCATTTTTTTACATGTAGACAGCCATTTTTTTTGAAAGAATATAGAATGTATATGTAGAAATGATGTAAACGTTTGTTCAATGAGGGCATTATTCATATAACCTTTTTATTGATTGTATTATTATTATTTAGTTACTTATTTCTTTGAAATTCTGTTAGTTGAACAAATACTTTAATGCTTCTAAGACTGTTTTGTAAATAGTTTAAACCGTTCGTGTGAAGTTTGGATTATTTTCTGTTCATTTTGTTTAGAAATTAAAAGATTTTTTTATTAAGGATTTTTTTTTATTTCTAAAGAACTTCGTTGAATTTCTTCTTGTGTGTAATTAAGAAGTATATCTATTTTAACCCAGAACTTGCTGGATTTGTGTCTGCCTTGGATTTGGTACAGTCCATTTGAACTTTATGGGATTTCAGTGACAAGAGGGTAAGAAAATGTACAACCGACAGTATAAAGCCAGGTCAGATGCAGCTAGGCCTGGATGTATTTTACTTACGGCAAAGGTTAATCACAACCGGTTCCAGCCAGTTTTAATGATGGCAAAGGTTAATCACAACCGGTTCCAGCCGGTTTTACTGCTGTAAAAGGTTAATCACAACCGGTTCCAACCAGTTTTACTGATGGCAAAGGTTAATCACAACTGGTTCTAGCTGGATTTACTGACGGCAAAGGCTAATAACTGCTTCCAGCCGGTTTTACTAACGGCATAGGCTAATAACAACCGGTTCCAGCCGGTTTGACTGATGGCACCAGTTCCAGCAGGTTAAGGGTTAAGGTAATTGAAGTAGAAAACAAAAGAATAATGATCATTTCAATAGGTGAGAGCATTTTGATTATAGTCTCTTTTCTGTCTTGTTTTATGAAAGCTTTTGTTAAAGTATAGCAATTAAGAATTGAAAGATTAAGTTTAGATATGGCATGTGCGTTTTGTGTGTTTTAGAAGCAACTTTTGAATTAATTGATTATTCTGAAAAAGAGAAGTTGTGTTCTGGTTTAAATATTTTTTCTGTAAAGATATACGGAACAGATGGGACCATTGTAGCTGTAGCTAAAATGTCAGTTGAATTTATTCAGAAAAGAAATCGTAGACAAAAAATTTGTTCTCTTTTAAATGGGACCATCATTTATGTAATGTCAAGTTATGTATTTTCTTTATATCATTATATGGAATCGTCGAAACAAAGTGAGATATATTATATATTTTTAACAGTTTAGTAATGACTTAGATATCTGCACGCAGAAATGGACGTATTGCAGAAAGAACATCGGAAACTAATATAGCTTTCTATTAATTATTAGAGGTAGCAATAACGAACCATTAAGTCAATAGTTTTATGACGGTTTCAATTGGACAAAATAGTGTTTGTTTTGTGTGTTCATGTGCATGATTATAAGAATATTTCAAAGTCGCTACTGTCAATTTTGTATCAAATTGATGATTTGTTTTTGTATACATGTATATATATATATATAAAATAGATGATTTGATGATCTTTTTTGTTCACCTTTTGAAAATTAATTAGTATTGATACAGTCCTACTAATGGCACTTACAGTTGAAATAACGAGCGTCATATTTCTTATATTTCTTTGGCTTCTATGCTTTGAGGGCGTGTTCCATTACTTCTATTTTTATACTACAGCAAATTGGAAAAGGTAGTTTTTTGTTAATTTATGCAAAATGCTTGTCAAAATATTTCGTCAACCACTTTATGGTGAACATATGTTATTTGTTGATGTATAAAATTTATGCAACCAAAGTTTTTATGAGTTTCATAAAATTTTGTCTCAAAAAGTAATTGACTTGTAAATAATAAATGTAAAAATGATTATGCATCTGTTGTTTTTTCTCTATTATCTATACACATATATTTACTAATGGATTATCATCACCTATAATTGTCTACGGCCATATTACCTTACACAGTAGCGAATTATGTCTGCAATTTAAGGATTTTGCGACTCATAAGTCTTAAACGCTGCATGCCTTTTACTGTGATGAACGGTAATGGACAAAGTCCATTTGCTGTTCGCCCGTAAAAAGGTTGGCTTTTAACTTTGGTTTACAATCCAAAGTAAATGTAATTCGCATATTCATATAAAGATATTCACATGAAAGATTAAATTGATAAGAAAGCTGGAACGTCTTCACCACAGAGAAAATGCATGCATATAAATTATAAATAATAGGGAACAATGGAAGGATGTACACCAGGAGACTAGCGCTGCGTAGTAATTTGGGAAAGTTGTTATGTACTCTAGGACTGCGTTTCATAAAAAGTCCTAAATGTATCGTAAGTCTTAGAACATAAAAACAACTTTAGGACTAACTTCAATAAAGTTTTTATCTTCAATATAAATACTGTTGACTATAGATAACTATTCTCCTGAAGTACTATGACCGGCCCTTTTATTCGCAATATGTAAATGCTCATCAGCATTGCTTTTCAGAAAGTAAGAGTCGTAAGTTAGGACATTTTCTTTAAAACGCAAATTTGTCTCAGTTTTGGACTCGAAACTGATTTCAGACTGAGTACTTGTTATGAAACAGCCCAGAACGTAAGGAAATACGTTATCTAAATATTTAAAATCGATTTATTGTCCTGTTATAAAATGACTGTACAATGTCCAGTTTTTACCCTCGCCCCGCTCAATATCTTAAATGTTATTGTCCATTCCAAACAAAACCATTCATCAACTTTAGAATTGTGTCGGTTTATCTTTGACTACCCTTGTTGGATGGATAGATTCAGTCAGCAGACTGAGTTAAGTAGTTATATAACCGGTGAAAAATACAAATTATTTATACAAAACCTGTAAAATCGTGATGTTTTAAATTCTATCATGTCTTGAGAGAGTTTTAGCAAAACGTGATTCTGCTATAAACATTAGCTTGCTGCCCCCTAGCTACCAGTGCAGACTATGATAAGCCGCCGTGTGCCGTCCAGCCCCCCCCCCCTTGACCATGGTCTGCAACATTCGGTATTAGGAAAGTACTTACTTTGAATTTTTTCCTTGACTCCATATGACGGAACTGGAACTATTTTTTTCGAGATTAATGTAGTAATGTTCCATTTAATGTAGGTCTAAACCAATAACTTTGGTGCAAAATTTCGGATCATTTGCTCACTCCGTTTTCCCAGAGTTCTTCTAATTGTGAAATATCCCCAAAGTGGTCTAAAAGCGCACAAAAACTCATTTCTTTTCGCTATTAAGTTTAGTGAATTATTAATTGACTATTATGGTGGTAATTGACCAATAATTGGTAATGTAAAACGCTTATGATAAATATTAAAAAGATTTAATTTATAAAATGATTGCCCACTCTTTTTTTTTTAAGAATTGAACGTTTCCGATACATTGGTCACGTGGATTATTGTTTCACAGTAAAATTTTTATAAATTGCACACAATTTTGGCAAAATGTCGATTTTTTTTTATTTTTACCAGTTCGCTGACCCTTTGGATGGGCATTTTTATTTATTTCTGAAAATATTTCTTCATTACCTGTTCCATATGTGTCTGTTTTAAGTGCCCGAGCTAATATAATTATGTAAGAAATTCAAATTTCATGCTTTTAGGCTTCTGGGCTTCAGTGGAGTTCCTTTAAAGAGATAAAAAGTTTTGTCCAAGTTGAAAGATGGATATCTAGCGTGGTAATGATAAAGAACATACAATGTTATAGGAAGTTTAAAAAAAATCGCAAGCTTCTATTTTAATATTGTCATGATAATTCCGAGCATGTGTCAACCATTTTTTTAATGAATTTTTACAAACATTTTAATTAAATTTAAATACTTTGGCATGATTGTTTAAATGAAGATATTAAACATAACCCCCTCCCCCCCTTGTTGCAAAACAGCCTCATATAGCTTTATACTTACATTGTCTCCATGTGTAAAAATACCTTAATAATAAGGTTAAGAAAATAGACAAATGATTCAACAAAGATCGAATTGTCTAGTCAATCGTTGAGTATATTAAAATTTCCCACAAGTATTGTCCAGCTGTGTGCTAAGCAGCTTTCCTAATAGAATCAACAGTCTTCTAGAATATTACACGAACATATTATTGTTCATCATAAGAAATGCATACAAGTTCAGGCATCGACACTAACTTTTTTAGCAGGTGGTAAGCCGGACCACTAGATTTGAAATTTAGGTGGTCCTTCCAGAAGTCAGGTGGTCAATTTTTATCATTATATAATTTACTGCAAATTTAGAAAATATATGCTTAAATTGATGACAAAGATTTATTAACCTTCAATAAAACAGATATTTAAGATGTTTATTTTTATCTAATCGGAAATTAAGGAGAGCAAGTTAGTAGGTATTCTATCGTGAAGTTATTTGTTTGTTTCTTTATCTCATTAAAAATAAACAACAGGACGCTTATTTATGTTAACTTTAATATTGAAATGACTTCTCCCTCAACTCAAGGGAATAGTAAAACCATTTGTGTCTGTTATTTTCTGACTGTTATTCAAATATACATTGCTGATACGTGGTACGTCTTATAATCATGATAATTGCATGCATCTTTTATAGATTAACATTTTTAATAAAATTAATAAATTATCTTATTCTTGTCTTTGAAAACAAGGAAATATCTAAAGGATAAAAAATAATAACAATGTTATATATATATATCTAGTTAATCTTATTTTTCTCACTAATTCATTATGAATACAGAATATTACCTCCCTGTTGCTCGTTGGTTGATATTTATTTTTGACATTGATTATTTTTAACCTTTTAAAGTAATTTTAACTCTGGAAGATAATGGATCGTTAAACAGTTAAAATAAAGAAAAGTAGCAAAGAATTACAAGATGTATTTTTACAGTTCCTTTCGTTGCTGCCATTATTCAAGTGAAGTATTTCAAGTATGAAATTTTTAAGTTTATCGGATACACCATACAAAATCATAATTACCATCGCCAGATACCCACGGTTGATTCAAATGTAACATAACATAAATGTAAATGGTTCCGCCGTGGGTATCCGATGATGCATAATTACTAGCATCATTTGAATAACTTTTGTGCCAAAATTAATATCACAAATTCTTAACTTGTTTAACTTGAGTAAACAAAATATTGGCGACTGAAAATGAAAGTTATTAATGACTTAAGAACTTCTTTAACTAATCAGAGATTAATGTAGTTTGTATATTTTATGAACCATATACATGTACATCGGACAAATGATTTTAAACAAAATGTATATAACATGTTTTTGACCAAATCGCCATTTTCCCAAATGAGCCTTGCACCAACCAGAAAATTCAAGTGGTCCGACGGACCAGTGGCTTTTTAAATTAGGTGGTCCTTGACAAAATCAGGTGGTCTCGGACCAACGGACCACCGCTAATGTCGAGGCCTGCTTCAAGTTTTTTATTAATATTATGGAACGTAGAAGCATAGTGTTTTTCTATAATATATAATATAACGGGTGGAAGTGTCGCTGGTTTAAACTACATTCGTAAGATAAAATGTCATCGTTTGAAAACAATTAATAATTTATGAATGCAATCTAGTAAAGATAATTTTCTTAATTAAAACTCTTTTTGTAAAGACCGCACATATGTTATGGGATGACCTAGTGATGGTTGCAATAAATGCAAATGGTTAAACTCAGTGAAAGAAATACAACCAATTTTAATAATTATCTGTCGCATTTATTTACAAAATTCATTTCGAATTACACAGTGCAAATTTTGCTAATATGAGAGATAGTTAGTGGTCAATACAGAGGCAGGTTTATACATTTTTGAGCGGATTCAGACACGCAACATCGCGTGCTTATGCGTATCATTTTTAAAAATAGTTGTCTTAAGTTGCCAGTCATACATTCTGACACATACTTGTATCATAGTAAAGACACTTAACATGCGCGTAATACACCATAAATTGACAGATCTACAAAAAAAGAAATATTTAAAGAAAATATATCATTAATAGATGTAGCAATTTCTATTATAAATAAAATAAGTTGACTAGTCTAATTCATTTAATTAACATTACGACATTATTATTGTTTTGCGTGTATGTCTTAATTTCAAATTTTATTATTTTCTTAACGCATATGTTAACCGTTTGTTTATTTCATTAAACCTTTTGGGTTGGGGAGAAGAAATTTAAAAGCTATGCACGATATACTCAAAATTCAATAAAAAAATTTGTATCACTTAAATATTTTCATTTTTCTATTCCTTTCAGAACAATAGGTTATAATACAATGATGGTATATTTGTTAAGCTGCGCCACTGAAGAAATAACTTCCAAGTGTTAAAATTAGCTTCCGCGAAGGCTTTGGTTGAAAAGGCTAAGAAAAGTTCCAAAATGTGATGTAAATAATTTTATCTACGGTTTTATAATTACTTCTTTAATTTACAGCATTATTATTTCTTTCTACCTCATGGTTAGGAGTCACTGATATCCAACATAGAAAAGATTTATTCCTTTAATTCAACTTTCCTACATCAAACGAGCAGTTAGCTGTGAAATCTGCACCAGTATACATTTGTATATATGACATACCTTATCTTTCTGTATTCCGGGGTTCCCTAGTAATAATTGACAACGATATTCCTCTTACATATTACCTCATAAATTTACAATGACAACTGTTGAAAGAGTTACCATACCAAAATCATATGGAATGATTCCTCTTATTTTTACCTTACGTAACTGATTACTGAGTTACCCTAATAAAACAATTTGCACAACCTCTTTTTCAGAATTTATGAAAATAACTGTTGACAGAGTTACCATACTAAGATTCTACAATGACAGCTTATGAAGTATGACTGACTTCTCATACAAAAGCA